AGTGGGAAACATAAATAAAAAGACAGAGAAAAGGGAGATTACATTGTTAGCTGTAGGACAATGTAGTTTTTTCCAAATGTTGATAGAGGGACAGTTTTTAATAATACCTAATGTTTTCTTTCTCTTCATAGCAAGTCATCAATACATGTGAAGCAGTCCAAGTCCAGGGTGTCACTGAGGCTGATGACAAAGGTGCACTCAAGCTGATACTGGAGAATGAGCAAATTGTCAGCACTGAAGAAACTATGTGACAGCCGTTGGATGCAGAAATGGGTGAAGATGGAATACCCATCAAAATACAGCTGTCAGGGAATAAAGTTGTACACATTGAAGCAGTGGAACAATTTGCTTTGCTAGAGGATGAATGTCTTTCAGCATACAGCAAAAGGTGAACCAGCAGACAGTTTATGTATGTGATGTACTTTGGTCAGTAGGAAGAAGCTTATAAAGTGCTGTAGAAATAAATTTGATTTGATCTGCCATATAAATAAAAATATAAATTTCTATTTGTGCAAGTGTGATATTAATTAGCGTTTCTGAGCCGCTCCATATCCAGCTGGTGAGAATGACCTGTCATCTCCGCTGGGAGTGTCTGCAGGGAGAGACGGAGCGAGAGACGAGGCAATGAGCAAACGTGACATCTGCATTACATTTAATATATGTAGAGCACTTTTCTCTGAAATGGTGTTTCTATCCCAAGGTATGCCAGAGATATTAATGTTCAAAGAGCATGAGGCTGTCCCATTCATTTGTATGGGAATAATTTGTGTGAAAAAAAGCTGAATTTATTAAAAACTATGAAAGTTATAAAGATGATTGTTGCACCCTTGGTGGCTGAACTTCTCATGAGTTGAATAGAGTTGATGAGAATCAGCTGTGCGCTCCTGTTGAGAGCGTCTGCAGAGAGAAACGGAGCAACCAGAGACGCGGCAACAAGCAAACGTGCATTTCTGCATTCAGTTTCAAACAAATAGAGCACCCTGTTGTGTTAGTACACTGTTGTATTATGTCATGATATTAAACTAATTGAAGGAACCGTGGCATTTTATAATTACAAAGACGTTTTCCTTCCAGCGTATTATTTGACTGCAAGACAGGGAGCGACAGAGCGAGAGACGCGGCAACGAGCAAACGTGGCATCCAATGTTAATATATATACAGCACTTTGTTGTGTTATTCCACTGTTGTATTATGTCAAGATAAAAAAAATGAAGGAACAGCTATGATTTATAAATATGCCGATGTTTTGTTTCAGCGGATCTTCTGTATTGACTGTAAGGGTGCTTTCACACCTTAATTTGTTTGCTTTGGTCCGAATCAGTTGACGAGTTTGTAAACATGTAGCAATGTCTCCTTGGTTCAGTTTCGTTTCACACACAGAAAAATCCAAGCGCACCAAAACACGTCACGTAAAACTACGCGAGAACATTCTCCGCTTATTGGTCAAATGTGTCTGCCGCGAGAACAGAAAAAGTAAAAAAAAGAAGAAAGTCCACGTTTCTGTGACGAGAGAGGATGGAGGTCAACATACGAGGGTTGGGCCTTGCCCTGGTAATTTTGTATTACGTTACTTGCATTTACCACTTAAAACAAATCGTACAGTTTGCCCACGATTCATCCTGGTGCATGTTTTGGGTGACAGGAAATAAAATCTACCCATAATCCAATGCCCTCAAATCATGTGGTTCACGGCCTTTGGTCCCGTTTTGGTTCGGTACGCGTTCTCACCAGGAGGACCGCACCAGAGTTCGCTAGATGATGCGAATTGAGACCACCTCATTTTGGGGGTCTCGGTGTGGTTGCTTTGGTGCACACTCGAGTGCGATTACCAGGTTCACACCAGACAAAACGAACCACACCAAGAGGGCAAACGAACTCTAGTTCAATTCAATCGAACTAAACGCTGTAGGTGTGAAAGCACCCTAAGTCTATGGAGCAGTGAGACAGTATGCGCTGGAATGTGCGACTTACGCAAATACCAAATACGAGCACAAAAGCGGCAATGAGGAAGAGGAAAAGCATAGCGAGAGCTGCTAGACCGGGGAGTCACGTGACGCATAGGCAGCCAATGGCATTGAATTGTATTGGCCCATTCATTGTCTATAGACAAATAGACAAAATATAAATGTCAATTATAAAGAAACCATAAAAGATAAAGACGATTTTTGCACCATTGGTAGTTGAACGTCTCACAAGTTGAACAGAGTTGAAATGGCGTTTCTAGCCCAAGGTATGCCGGAGATATTAAGCTTCCAACTTTGCCCCATTCATTTCCAATGGGGAAATTTATGTAAAAAAAAAGCTGAATAACTTAAAAAGTATAAGTTATAAAAACGTTGTATACAAGCAGTCACGTCTTTAAAAAGATAAACAGTTTGATACCTCAATGGCCCTTCTAGATGAAAGTATGCTGAAGGAGTTAGGTGCCAAACAACAGTGGCGGAACCCAGAATAATAACTAGAAAAATGCATTTCCTGAAGGAAATGCATGTGGATGCGAGCTTGGGAATGCATTGCTCTGAAAATGCCTGAAATCAATAACCAAAACGGCAGAAGACTGACAAGAAATGGCTGAAGTTCTTTGTTGAAATAGTTGAGAAGAATTGGCTGAAGTTCTTTTTTGAATTATCAGAAGGATGAGATGAAATATATACAAGCAGGGATGTCCTTGAAGAGAACATTTTGATACCTGAATGGCTTTTGTAGTTGAAACTATGCTGACCTTATAAAGATGTGAAAATTGTCTCATTCGTCCCCACAAAGTAGGTAAAATGAGCAGGTGTGTGTGAGTGAGTGAGTGAGTGAGTGAGAGAGAATTCCCAATTACACCCTGTGGACTACTAAAGTGTGGCTATTGAAATGAAACATTGTGAGGATTGCCCTGAAAATGTCTGAAATCAATTAAAACTGCTAAGGTTGAAGATGTAAGTATTCATCCAAAAAGCCGGCTTGTGAGGTCAAAATGACATACAATTCTTAATGAATGATTCATCGTCACATCATTAGTGTGTGTGCTCCCGCTACCCTCCCAATCCTCAAACAAAAGCAACTTTGATAAAGCAAGAGGCATGTCTTACTGACAATAAGCAGACACGGTTAGTGTCATGCTACTGTTGGGAATTCACATGCGTACTTACAGCACACCCACAAGTTAGTGTATTTAGTGTGTGAGAGTAGGTGTCAGACTAAATCCTTCACACAGGCTCTGTCTTGCTGTGAAGGTAAAAGACGCGTTGGGCTGGCAGTACTGGTACTGTGGGGACATAAATCTGTTTACATAGTCACACTGTGGGGACTCAACATCCTTATGGGGACAAAAAGCAAGTCCCAAGAATGTAAATCATTACATTTTAGAGTCAAAGGTGTGTGTGTGACATTAGACTTGTCAAACAGACTGTGTAACGATATATGCAGGAAAGCACCAGATCAACGTTGGTGCATGGAACCAATTAACTTTGGAAGTTCATCCCAGCCAAAACATTTGAGAGCACACAAACCTAATTTAAAGCACTACTCAGTTTGCAACTCAGCATTTGAGAGAGTGCAGGGACATACTTGTAAGCACAGAATCAGATATGAGGGCGTAATTCAGGGTATGTGTGCACTTGTTTCGGAGTCTGCACTCTCAGGTTTCGCCACTGGGTTTTGTGTGAAAGCCTGTTGGCGCCAAAAGTTTTTGGAAGTGTACGAAACAAGTTTTGCAAATCAGAATTTAAAAGTGTGCTGGCATGGATTCGTAAGAGGGAGCGAGGGCAGAATTGTGAGAGTAACAGATGATTTAAGTGAGCAGCGGGGATCCTTCCTTGCTGTTATGTTCTTATATGCAAAACTCTTTATTTTTAACCATGCATATTAGGTATCCAGTAGTTGAATACGTATTTATATCATTTACTTCAGTAAAGGTATCAGAATGCATCAAATGCTGTAGCAGTTTGAGATGGAGTGGAGTGAATAATAAAT